TTGACAGAATCGTCGATCCCTATGAGGTACTCAATGAGTAGGATGAACTCGGCGAGTCCTGTAAGGGACTCGTCGAGTCGGGCTATCAGACATACGGATTTTCAGGATTTTGGCTTATTTTGACTTGGGATAATAACCAAAAATGTTTTTGATTAATAAAATATGAATGTTATTGACTCTATGTGATTATCTTAGTCAAAACAAAAGACACTTATCATTTAATTAGATAATTGTTGCCTTATATGATAAATCTTAATTATTTGAATTGTTTGATCAGTTATCGTGCATGTAATTAGACTAGGTCAAAATTAGATAACCACCAATTAATTGTTTAATTGTTTTCTTTGAATTTTGATCTAGATAGTTTTGAAATGTTTCAAAACTTTCACTCAAGTTTTGGAATTTAAATTTTTGATTAAAAGTTTAATTTTGAAATAATTAAATTCCAAAACCTAGAATTTTACAAGTTTAAAATTCAACCCATACTATTAAAATATTATAAGAATAATTATTATATACGGATAAGATAAATGCTAGTCTTACCGTTAGTAGGTCTCATTCACGAAGCCGATCTATAAGGGGGTATAAGGTTATGGCCTATGATATGTGCATATTTAGCCATGTGTTTAGTATAGATTTTTATCAATTATTAGCTAATTATGTGCATAATATGGACAAAAGGTACTTAATAATGTCTAAATTATTTTTCAGTCTAGAAGACATGCTTGGAAGCAAAAAGGAAGAAGGAGAAGTAATCAGAAGCTGGAGAATGAAGAAAGAAGAACAAACCAAAAGCTACTCGGCAAGTTCCAATGAATGTTCATGAAGTAATGTCCAGAATCCTTGTCGTACACATATTTCTCAAAGGAACTCGGCGAGTTGGATACCTACTCTCCGAGTTGCCCCTGTTTTGAGATAATTATAAATAGAGGATCTAATTCCGAATTGGAGAGTTTTTTGGCTTCTCTGGAGAATAAATCGCGACTAAGGAAACCCTTAGAGACCTGAACAACCCTAACCTTTGATCTTTAGAAGACTCAATGCGAATTAGGTTAAATTTTCCACTTATTCTTAGAAATGAATCATGTTTAGATCAACTAAATTCATTTTTAGCTTCTCTTTTACTGTAATCATGAGCTGAATTTTTGTAGTTTCTGCTTAGGGAAGACTAAATTACTCCTATGGTTTGATTTATACTTTGATTGATTGATTATTGGTGATTTTATTAAATTAAGTTTGTTAAAGACCCTTATGCATTAGTCATAACTATTTTCTGTTAATTGGAAGACAATTAGGCTGCATGAACATCTCTTACTTGTTAACCTCATATGATTTATGTGAACACTTTATTATATGCCTAGGATTAGTGAATATAAAACTAGGATTAATTAGAGAATGGGTAAATTAATGTGTGAGCTTATTTGAGAAACCAACAAACAAGAGGTTAGTTGAATTACTAATTTGATTAACCAATTACATATCTTATTTAATCCAAATAATTGAACTAGGGAGTTAATTATTTAAACACTTGATCACTGCTTGAATTGATTAATTTCCTAAGGGTTGGTAATAGCGAATGCGAATCTAATCACTATAGTTGGTAACCAATAATAATTAATTTATTACTTTATCATAAAATTAACCATAAGAGTGAATTGGTTGGACCTAAACATAAACCCTTTTATTAAATTTGGTGAATTGTTACTTGCTTTTAATTGATTACTTAATTACTTGTTAGGTGGTGTGTTTAAGTTTCTAGTCTTGTAAAACTAGAGAAAACCCTTTTATTTTTATTACTTGTTTAGCTAAAATTAGTTATTAGTTTAATTTCCGTTCCCTGAGTTCGACACCCTAGTTATTCAACTATACCACTAAAAGACAGGTTCACTGCCTTTGTGTGCTAAATTTATATTTTTAAGGTAGGAATACAACCAGTGCATTTTACACACATTAAGTTTTTGGCGTTGTTGCTGGGTAACGGTTCAAAAATTAAATACAATTCTTAGTTTTATCGATCCTTTGTGTGAGTTTATCTTACACAAAGTTATTTTTTTTAGTAATTTAGTAATTAGGTTAAGTTTTAGTAATTATTAGTTTTTAGTCATTTTTATTTAATTTTATCTATTTTAGAGTATTACACAGTGAACTCGCCGAGTGCAGTCGACCCTACTCGGCGAGTCACTGCTGATTGGCAGTTTAGTTTTTATTTTCGTTATGTTTCATTTTTTGTTCTTTTTACGCGTTTTTCTTGTTTTTGTTGCAAGATTTTCATGACCAGAGGATCCAACACTCCCCTGGTTCCCCCTTTTGAAGACCCAGAATTCGCGTTGAGGAAAAACAAAGGCAAGGACGTTGAAAGCTCGAATACACCTAAGAAGTCACCTTTGGCTAGCTTGAAGACGGTTTTTTGGGAAGAAGAAGAACAAGAAACCAGGAGAGACCAGCAGTAGAAAGAGCGAAGAAAGTAAGTTAGAAGATATTGAAGACAATCCAAAAGAAGCCGAATTTGAATACGATTACGAAACCAAATACGAAGAGGAAAGCGATCAAGAAGGAGACTTGGACAACACGATGGAAAACATCGATGAAGTCCCCATGGGCTAATGGAAGAAGAGGATATGAGATGATACCGGCCCGGGACTTGTCCAACCCGTAATTCCCGCAACTGCCACTTTTGAGCTTAAGGGTCACATACTTGCTCAACTCAAAGAGATCCCCTTCTACGTAAAAGACCACGAAGATGCTTACAAACACTTGGATGAAGTCAATGATGTAGCTGATTATTTTAATGTTCCGAACGTGCCTCACGAAACTCAGCTACTTCGTATGCTTCCAGTTACATTGAAGGGTGCTGCAAAGGATTGGCTCAAGTCACTTCCCCTCGGATCCATAACTACATGGGCCAAGATGAAAGAAGAGTTTATTGATCAGATTTTCCCACCCTCCAAGATATCTAAGTTAAAGAAAGCCATAGCCGACTTTGAACAACAAGCTGGAGAGTCACTTTATGAGGCTTGGGAGAGGTACAAAAGTTTACTAAGGAATTACCCACATCATGATCATAATAGTCAACAAGAAGTCTCCATTTTCTATGATGGAGTGAATGTTACAACAAGGAAATTACTTGACTCGCAAGGTCCACTCACAAAGAAAGCACCCCCAGTGATAAAGCAACTAATTGAAGAATTCTCTAAGCATTCTAGAGAATACCACAATCCAAGGAATGATGTGACGAGGGGATCAACTTATGCAACTTCAGAAGATTTGTCAGTAGTTATGGCTATGTTGAAAACCATGGATAGGAGGATGGATAAAATGGATCAAACAATACGTGTTATTTGAGTGGGTTGTGAGAATTGCAATGGACCTCGTCTTACTAGAGATTGTGACTTGGAAGAGAACAGGAATAAGAAGGTGCAAGTGTGCTACTCAAGTGGTGACAAATATGATGATGATTGGCAAAAACCCAAGAAAGAATGGCTTCCTTATGATGAGTACAAGAAGGCTAAGAAGGAGAAGTATAAAAAAAAGGAAGAGGTTTTTACCAAAAGGAGGAGCCGGCGTAAGAAAGAAAACCAAGTTTGGAGGAAATGCTTACTAAATTTGTAGTTGCTTCAGAAAACAAACACAATGACCATGATGCTGCAATACAATAGACAAGAACAATACTTAGAAATCAACAATCATCTATCTACAACATTGAGACACAGCTGGGGCAACTTGCCCAACAAATTAATCAAAGATCACCGGGAGAAATTCTTAGTAAAACCGAAAACAACCCACAAGGCGCACATATAAATATCGTGACAAGAAGTGGG